TGGAGACCATCAGGACAGATCTGAGCTCGTTCTCATCGGTTCATTCCAGATCCGGGCGATTTTCCACCGGTTCACCCCAGATCCGGAAATAGACCCATCATTTGGCGCCGTTTGTGGGGAGTTCTTGAAGGAAGTAAGAGCTTTACATCTAGTTTGGATCTGTTTCCGATGGCCGACAAGGAAGGACCGCAGAAAAACTTGAACAAAGATTTCAGGGCGGCATGGACTGACAAGCGACCTCCGCCGATTCCCAACCCCAGACCACCGCTCCAAGTGTTCGGTTTCCCACCGTTTGGGGCACACGCGCCGTCAGGAGGGCGTATGGGGGAAGAAACGCCTATCACCCCACCAGGAGTCAAGATCCCAGTGCTCACTCAAGGGGAGGCCAGTCACGTTAGGAGCACGAGCGGAGAAGTCAACGGTCGTGAGTCAACCGAGACGCTCCTAAGTCTGGGAAAGCAGGCTGGACCGCTCGAGCTAGGAAAGAGACCGCTGCCCCAAAGTGAGGAGCAAATGTTGACCATAACACAGAGCGAGATGCAGAGGATGATTGCCGAAGCTGTAGCTGCCCAAATCAAACAAACACCAGTCGAGCAACCCAGGGTGGAACAACCCCGAATCGAGCAAGCTAGGATCGAACAACCTCAAAATGAGCAGCAACCCCCTGAACGCGAACAACAGGCACAATCACATGAAAGGCAGAACATGAGGGTAGATGAGGAGGAGTCCTCTGTCAGAACCGTTAATCCACAAGCCAGAAACGACACGCTGGAGCAGCTGTTAGCGCAGGTCCGAGACCTTCAGGCTCGAGTGGAAAGAAGAAAAACGGGAAGCTCGAGGGGACACCCTTTTTCACAACATATTCTAGATGTCGACTTGCCTCAGGGGTTCAGGGAGCTCAATATCTGGTATGACGGGTCGACTGATCCCTCTCGACATATCAGAAGTTTTGAAAACATGGCAGTATTGCATCGTTATAACGACCCCGTTCAGTGTCGAGCGTTCCTGACAACCCTGCGAGGACCAGCACAGGATTGGTTTCATCAATTGCCCCCAGGAGCCGTCAGGGACTTTGACGGATTCAGCTCGAGCTTCCTAAACCAATTCGCAAGTGTAAAAGCCCAAGAAAAGTCTTACCTTACTTTGATAGGTATGCAGCAGAAAGAAGGGGAATCATTGAGGGACTACGTGGCGAGATACACACGGGCGTGTGTCGACGTCCCCTCGGCCACTGAGGAGATTAAGTCGGGAGGACTCACTCGAGGGCTACTCCCGGGACTGTGCAGAAATTCCCTAGCAAAGCGACCCGGAAGGACGTTCGATGAAGTATTGGGAAGGTGCGCCAAATACATGAATGTCGAGGAAGCCGAAGCTGACTTTTTACAAGCGGCTAAAGCAAAAGCTGAGTCTCGGGACGAAAAGAAGGATAGAAAACCGGTCTCGACGGTTGAAAGGAAGGGATCCCCGAAGTCCGAAAGAGAAGACCGTTCGAGGGGATGGAGGGCAACCCAATATACCCTTCTGTTAGCCTCGAATGCAAGAATATTGGAAGTAATGGAGAAGGAGATACGCGAAAATGTTGTCAGATGGCCACGAACAAGGAAGGATGGGCCGAAAAAACCTAAAAGTAACCTGTATTGTTGATTTCATAAAGACTACGGTCATAACACCGATGAATGTCAGCACCTAAAAAATAAAATCGAGAGACTAATCAAAGCAGGCCATCTGAAGGAATTCGTTTATAAGGATCGAGAACGAACCAGTCGACGAAGGGAGAGAAGCAAAAGCCCTCACAAGAGGGCGAGAACACCCGATAAGGAGGAGCTCCCCCAGAAAAGAGGAGTGATTCACATGATATTCGGAGGACCAACAGATGGTGATTCAAATCGGGCTAGAAAGGCATATGCTCGAAGGCATCACAGAAAAATCGAAATACAACAGGTCGAGGAAGACGGTCCAGTGATGAATTTCGGACCAGTGGACATGGGAGAGGTCGAGACACCTCACAACGATGCCTTGATGATCACAGCTTAGATATCGGGCTATGAAGTCCAGAGAATCTTTGTCGACACAGGAAGCTCGGTGAATGTGATTTTTTACAATTGTCTTAAACGGATGGAACTCGACATCGAACTCTCACCTCTGCACACTTCACTTTTTGGAAACGCTCGCTGTCGTCCTCGGGGAAGGCGACTTAAGGAAGGTGAAAATGGTACGATTCATCGTAGTCGACGTCGAGTCGGCTTATAATGTGATTTTGGGAAGTCCAGCACTCAACGCATTCCAAGCAGTAGTGTCAACCTATCATATGAAGCTAAAGTTCCCCGTCGGGGATAAGGTAGAGGAAGCCCGAGGAGACCAGAAGCTGTCAAGAACCTGTTATCAGATTGCAGTAAGGACAAACCAACGAGCGGAGGTAAAAGAAGGAAAAAAGCCGGTATCAAATGAAAAGAGACGAAGGGAGAATGATCTCGAGCCGCATGGGGAATTAATGGAAATTCAAATCGGGGAGAGAGAAGAGCAGACCACTAAAATAGGGCGAGAGTTGGAAGAAGAGTTGCGTCGACAGCTGGTGGGACTGCTGAAAGAATTCAGGGACATATTTGCTTTTTCCCCTGAAGAGTTAACGGGAATCGATCCCGATGTCATGGAACATAAACTCAATGTCGATCCCCTGAAGAAGCCCGTGAAACAACGACTTACGCACCATGGCGTAGAAATCGACAAAGCCATAGAGGTTGAGGTGGACAAGTTGCTGAAAGCCAAACATGTTAAGGAAATTCAATTCCTAGAATGGATATCAAACACAGTGATGGTAAGAAAAGCGCTAAATAAGTGGCGTATGTGTATTGATTTTCGCGATTTAAATTTAGCTTGCCCAAAGGACCACTACCCCCTGCCGAGAATCGACCAGCTGGTCGATTCCACTGCTGGCTGTCAGTTGCTAAGCATGATGGACGCGTCCCAGGGGTACCACCAAATTCCCTTGGCTCCTGAAGATCAAAGCAAAGTTAGTTTCGTGACGAGCAAAGGGACATATTGTTACGTCGTTATGCCTTTCGGACTTAAGAACGCAGGGGCAACATACCAAAGGTTGATGGATCGAATGTTCAAATCGCAGATCGGGCGAAATATGGAAGTTTACGTGGATGATATCTTGGTGAAAAGTAGGTCCTCGATCTCGCATGTAGAAGACTTAAGGGAAACGTTTACGACATTAAGAACATTTGGAATGAAGCTGAACCCGAGTAAATGCGCCTTTGGAGTAAGGGCAGGGCGATTCCTGGGCTATATCGTAACTGAAAGAGGCATCGAAGTGAATAAGGACAAAGTGCAAGCCATACTCGACATGACCCCACCAAAGAATGTTAGAGAAGTGCAAGTCCTGACAGGTCGAATTGCAGGCCTAAGTCGATTCATATCTCGGGCGGCGAAAAAAAGTTTCCCATTCTTCAAGTTACTCAAGAAAAAAGCTTTTCAGTGGGGTGATGAGGCTCAGATGGCGTTTGAAAAGTTGAAAGAGTTTTTGAGCGAACTACCATTGTTAACAAAGCCGGAGCCGGGCGACGAATTGGTGCTCTATATCTCGGTGGGAATCTTTTCTTTGAGTTCTGTATTACTGCGAGAAGCTGAAGGGGCCCAACAGCCGATCTATTATACAAGCCGAGTGCTTCAAGGTGCAGAAGCAAGATATTCCGAAGTCGAGAAGGCCGCATTAACATTGGTAATCACAGCCAGAAAATTGAGACCGTATTTCCTGAACCATGTGATAATAGTAAGGACAAATTTCCAGCTCGGAGAGACACTGGGTCGACCTACTGGGTCGGGTCAACTCGTAAAATGGGCAGTCTAACTTAACGAATTTTCCATCAAATACGAACCTCGACGAGCTATAAAGGCCCAAGCTCTAGCTGACTTTATTCAAGAAGGGACTAAAGGGGCAAGCAAAAAATGGATGATGCACGTCGACGGGTCCTCGTCTGCCAAGGGATCTGGTCTGGGAATAACCCTAGTATCCCCCGAAGGTGAACAGCTCGACTTCGCCATCAGAATGGGGTTTAAAGCCTCAAACAACGAAGCAGAGTATGAGGCTCTAATTAAGGGAATCCAACTGGAAATCGGGGCCGGAGCGACGGAAATCCTGGCACATTCCGACTCACAACTAGTTGTGGGGCAAGTATTGGGAAATTGCGAAATCAAAGAGGATCGGATGATAAAGTATGTTGAAGAAATTCAGAGCCTAGTACAAGGCTTGGACAGCTTTGAGCTAACGCAAGTACCTCGAGAAGAGAATAAACGGGCCGATTGGCTCGCAAGAATTGCAAGCTCGAACGAAGGAAAAATGGGGAATCATATTACCACATTACACTTGGAAGGAAGTGTCCTAAGTGAGACAATGGAGGTTGACGAGAGCCAAGATTAGCGAAAAGCAATTCGCGAGCTATTACAAAGTCGAGTGCCAGAAGGAGATAAGCAGGAGGCTGAGAAAGCAGCCCGATATTTGAGTAAATATTTTGAGATCGAAGGAGTCTTGTATAAGAAGTCGATGGTCGGGCCCCACCTGCGATGCGTTTCTGAAAGAGAAGGGGACCATGTCTTGAAGGAAATCCACGAAGGATGCTGCGGAGCACATTTAGGATCACGAGCCCTAGCTGGCAAAGCCCTTCGGGCCGGCTATTATTGGCCCAATATCCGAAAAGCAGCCGAATGATTAGTACAAGGATGCGATAGATGCCAGCGCCATGGTCAAATCCCCCACGTTCCAGCCGAAACAATGACGACAATCAGCTCCCCGATCCCTTTTGCTCAATGGGGAATCGACTTGGTAGGCCCGTTGCCAATGGAAACGGGGAAACAAAAATTTATGGTGGTTGCCGTCGATTACTTTAGCAAATGGGTAGAAGCAGAACCTCTGGGAAAAATCACTGAAGACAAAATGATACATTTCCTGTTCAATAATATCTGCTGTCGATTTGGAATCCCAAAGATCTTGATTTCAGATAATGGGACGCAATTTCAAGGAAAGCGGATCCAGGCGTGGTGTGTCGACATGGGGATCAAGCAGCGATTCGCCTCAGTTGCGCACCCTTAGGCGAACGGCCAAGTCGAAGTGACAAACAGAACCATCTTGCAAGGGCTAAAGAAAAGACTGGAGAAAGCATCTGGTGCCTGGGTCGATGAGCTGACAACGGTCCTATGGGCTTATAGGACGACCCCAAGAAGTTCAACGGGGCAATCACCATTCCACATGGTTTATGGAATGGACGCCCTATTGCCCATCGAGGTTGGATTGGAATCTCACAGGTCGACATTCTATGAGGAAAGGACCAATGAAGAGCTAGCAAAAGAGGCCCTCGACATGATAGAAGAAATGCGAGAGGAAGCCTGGCTGCGGTCCGTAGAGTACAAGCAGAAGATGCGGGCAGCCTTTGACAGGAAAGTCCGCACCAGGCGATTTCAAGTGGGAGACCTTGTCCTCAAGCGAGCAGATGCTCTTAAACATGTCGGGAAGCTGGAAGCCAACTGGGAAGGACCTTACACCATCAACAAAGTACTCGAAAGAGGCGCATACGAACTTGAAGATGGCGAAGGACGACAGCTGCCGCGATCCTGGCACGTGATTCATCTCAAACGCTTTTATGCTTAAGAATTTCAAACTCTTTGTACTAGACAATGGCTAATCAAATTCTGTAATGCAATGACTCTCAATTTTATGTTTAAATTGGGATCTTTTTTATATTTCCGTGTTGATTTTATCATAAATAGACAAGTCATTTAGAACGGCTATAAAAGTCGACTCAAACAACTAAAGTTGAATGCCTAGAGCGAAACCTCGGCAAGGCTATAAAGCCCGCGACTATAAAAGTCGACTCAACCAACTACAAAGTTGGATGCCTCGAGCGAAATCTCGACAAAGCTGTAAAGCCCGCGACTATAAAAGTCGACTCAACCAACTACAAAGTTGGATGCCTCGAGCGAAATCTCGGCAAAGCTATAAAGCCCGCG